ATTCCTGGATATCCTGGTTTTCCTGATTGTCCCATCGTCACTGGCACTTCTGATATTCCTGGTCGTCCTGGCTTTTGAGATTGTTCAGGTTGTTGAGGATACCCTATAAATAAAATTTTTTTATTTTTTTTTCCATTTTTTTATTTTGTATTTTAAATTTCTAAATATTCTTTTATGCGGTAGTTCTTTTTAGATAAAAAAGTCATATAAATCTAAAGATTTAATGTTGTTCGTACCAGGTTTAATAGGATATTCCGGCGTTGGTGTTGGTTGGCTTGGTTGAATAGGTATTCCAGCATTGCTTGAACCACTGGTTTCTTCTTGTGATTACGAATTATGTTAATTATATTTTGCATAGCATAATATTGTAATAATTATTCTTTATTTATGTCATATAAGTGTTACCTTCTGAGATTGGTTTAGTGTTTGGTCCAGCATTTGTTCCATCGAATTGTCTGCATATTTCTGGAAAATATAGATCTCTCCACTCCGTAATTACACCTTTATGATCATGGTGATCATCGTTGTGTTCATGATAATGTTGTTCTGTATCATCTTCGTGATGATGTTCATGTTCATGAAGAAACAGTTCGACTGAATTTCCTGGTTGAACGACTCTATATCCCCAGCCATCACTAATGTAAAAAGTTGTTTTTAGTTTTCCATATGGATCTATATATCCATAGCATCCATATGTAATGTCATCCGGTCCACGCACTTCGTGATGAAATTGTCCATTTGGACTTACTTGGTAACCATAATTGTATGCATCTAAGACAAAAATTAATATATATTGTGAGAAATATGTCTATTATAATTCTAATAATAAATTATATACTTACTAGAATAAAAATCTTGATTTAAATATTGACTTTTCTGATCATCTTTGATATTGAGTATTACATCTCTACTTTGCCTACTTCCTTCCTGCTGTGTGCATTGCAACAAAGACGTGGCAATTACCTGTTATAAATAAATGTGTAATTAATTTGATACTTTTGCCGTTTTCGTATTCATATTCTGTTTCTTAATTTAATTCGATTTCGTTATAATTTTCATTATAAATATTGAAAAGTTTTTGAACAAAGCATTTCATTTGATATTTGTATAATTACTTTGTCAACATCAGACATTGGTTAAAAAGAAAATCTGTCAATGCATATTCTAATTCGTTCTTTGACAACTTGACTTTTGCCAGACTAATCTTGTTCACCTTTTAAAAGCTTAGCAAAAGTTCAGTAAGAACATGACACGTCATTTTAAATGTCAAGTCAGCCATTTACTTCATAAATAATACATTTGCCGGAATATATCCACGCATCTACAATCTTTTTTAAAAATTACTGCTCTTATATCTTTCTATTTTTTTATTTTTTTCAAAGAATATGAAATTCGAATTTTAATTTTAATTCTAACTTTTCTCGATAGAAAATTAATTTTGCATAAATAAATTCGAAAATACAAAACTTCAACACTTCAATTGTAGTTCAATTGTTCTTCAATTTATTCTTATTCTTGGAAAATTTCAATATATTCATTCCATATATATTTTTTATTAGATATAATGATATTTGCCCGAAAGATGAAACTTCTTTTTAAAAATATTTAAAATATTCACTATTATCCTTTAAAACAATATTATACTGTCATTAATTTTTTTTCGTTTTCACTTCTAATCCTATTTTCGTGCCGCGCCACGATTAGCAACAGCTTTTAATTTTCTCATGCCTGAAGTCCAGTAAAAGTCAACTTCTCGAGTTATTTTTCGCTAATTAGAGAATAAGAGAATAATAAAAAGCCTTTTTCGTTCGCATTGCCGTTTAGAATAATTAAAAGTAAAGGTCGCGCGAACAACTCTCGTTGGAACATCATCAAGTTTCGTAATCGATAAACCTCTTAGGAAGATCGATATAATCGTTATTACGATTCAGCTCCTTTTAATTCCTCGAAATTTCACTGAAAATTAATTTCAGTCAATCAAAGCCGTAAAAGATTCACATTTACACGAATGCATCGTCGAGGAATAAAAAAAAAAAAAAAAAATCAGTCAGATTTATTGCTTTGGCTTCAAATATCCGCAGTGAGTATCATTGAAGGCTATTTTGGCCGTGCTTCTTTTTTTGTCCCGATTCTTTTTACGACGTCTTGGAAATTGGTGTATAACTGCTGCACGACGATATGATAAAAAAGAAGAGAAATAATAATATAACGAGATTGCGCAATTTTTATTGCTTCTCGCTCGTCATCGCGTTACATGAACTTTCTTCCACTTTACGATGAGGTCGCTTCCTCGCCAACAAATTGCAATGGCGGTTATCGCGGCGAAGTGAAGTAACAATATGACATAATTAACGATACAAATTTTACTCGATGGTTCATTCAAATGTTTTTTCCACGCTTTATTAAATTTTCTCCACTCGGTTGCGGTTGCGAGAAATATTTATGTTGCATTTGATGAAGATTATGAGGTACTGGAAGGTATTTCTAACAGTGTAATAAAAGAGAGCTTCTAAAGTTTAAGCGAAAGCGCAATATCAGTTGAACATAGTTTAATGCTGAATGTAGTTGTAATGTACATTCCCTCTTGAAAAATTCATACTAACAGCGAACGTTCTTGCAGCGATAAACCGTATCATCCGAGGATTTAAAGATGCGTTAAATGGATTGTTTGAATGTTTTATTACGCGATTCCTGTTCTATTTATCAATGCCCACAATCATGCGTAAACCAAAGCGAAACCTCGACGAAGCATTCGCGTAATATCTTCTCGAATTCGATTGAAGAAATTCTAGATTTCTTTTATGATTTGCTCATGTGTTATTGCGATTCGATGATGGATAAGAATGAATCAATTATCAATATTGGTTTTATCTTCAATTGCTTGCGTGTTAAGAATTAGAAATAATAAAAATATAGTAACAATTATAATATAATTGTTAAAATATAAATAATATAACATACAAAATATAAATAATACGTTAAGAGGATATTTAATGGTTTATATAGCAAAAAGTGTCTAGTTAATAGAGATATACGTTAACACGTCTTCTTTTATTCGTGACGTTAAAACATAAGATTATCAATTTGTAATCGATGATTGATGATTTGTTTTGTTACCAGGTTCTACTCACATGAGAAAATTGAAATGCTGTTTTACGCTTCACGAATCCTGTTCAGAGCGAATCCTATTCAATCAGATTAATGATACCTCTGTACCGCTTCTGATCTATGATTTCTCTTATTCCAGTTGTAATGTGATGATTTATGCTTGGCAAAACGTATGACAATAAGACCTCTGTGTAACGAAATACAGATTGGCATAGGACGTCTCCTAGGAATTATCTGCTTGATAAAAGATGACAAAACGCAAAGAAAAAGAAAAAAAAAAACTTGCATAAAAGTTTATTTTGCATAAAATATCCATTCGTAGACACTGTGTTACGATGATTTTGGAACGTGTTTGGATCGATCGAATGGAAGATTGATGGTAAGTATGTTGAATTTTTTGCAATTTATTTTTTCGTAGAAATTCAATCTCGTTGATGTGTACATTATGCTATTTAAACAGATCCTAACATCATCGATCACCAGAAACGGACAATTACTTTAAAAATATTTCCCTAGATAGAATAAAGTTGAAGTGATTCTACGTATAAAAATAAATCGATAAAAATTTTTATTATATTTTTAAGAATATCGAATTTGGAAATCTATTCAAAATTTTAACTGGATACTGCATCGTTAACAAAATATTGTTCCACGTGTGATAAAAACTAAGTGATAAAAGAACAAAATTTTTTCGTTCTTAAAATTTCTTAGTTTCCAAGAAAATTAAATCTGAAAATTTATATATAATACATACTGATCTCTGATCATTCAATTTTTATATTATTATATAAAAATGAGCTCGAAGGAAAATATATGACACATATCACTTTCCTTCCTCTCGAACCTTTACTCGGTTATTCGAATCTCACTGGAACGATGGCCGAAAGTAAATCGTATCTTTTCGCTCGACACGTTCGAGAAATCAATCGTGGAACCACAACCACGCGTAGTTTCACCCATGAATAATAATCGAACAAAGCCGATGCTTAAAAATCGTGTGGACGCGCAGTCGTGAACGGGCCGAGGTCGGGCTAAATCATCGTCAAAAGTGGCACGGTATCCTGCTAGGACGTCCTTTCCCGCCTGATCGATGATGTCAGAGCCGAGCGTCGTCGTCGTCGTTCCACCCACGAAAAGGGAAAGTGAGAGATCCCGAGGAGCTCCTCTTCTTCCCAATGACGCGGATGGGTCTGCATCGAGGCATCGCCTCTATGCACCGAGAAAGGTTAATATATGCTAACATTCGACCTGCCCCGCGCTTCCAATCAACACTCGCCTCAAGGATGGATAATTTCAATGGTATTTCATGCTGGCGTGTTGCGATATTTTTAGGGGACAATGGTAAATCAACGATTGGGATCGAGCTGTCCACAGAAGATGATTGGAAGATGGATCCGTCTAAGTGTCAAGTCGTTAGCATCGTCACTTTGACCTGTATGAAGCGATGAGCGAAGATTTCGTTGGATCGAGGATCGAGAAAGATTCCAGGAGCGAAGAAAGTTGATGGATCACCGTAAGGTTGATGGAGAGCGGCTGTTGGTCGTTGATTGAATACGATTCTCATTTTTATTATCCGATTTCAAATCGTTTATTTTTCTTTTTTTTTTTCCTTGTATATGTAATCGAATTAATGTTAGCTTTTATTAGAAGAGGATTTAATTGATTGAGGAATTAAAAAAGAAATTAATAACGAAGAATATGGGAAATAGATTTTTCTTATTCGGTATTGGAAATCAATTATCCGAGAAGGTGAATGAAGTTTTGATTTATTACCTATGTTCGAAAGATTCGCATCCCGCAAAAGGATGTTTTCGATTACGTTTTAAAGTAACCATCACAAAATTAACATTCATTTATCAATTTTTTTTTCCCGATTAGTAAAGATTGTAAACGTTGCTAAACGTTTCATTGCCTGTAATTAATTTCTTAATTAAACGTTAATATATGCTACTATAATATCTAAATTACTCGTAAATTGATAGATTTGATCTTTTAAGAGGAATTCTTATTAAAATCTAATTACGATTCTCAATATCGTATCACGTATCGGAGATTACATTGGAATCGGAATGGCACGCTTATCGAATACGGATTATCGAATTATGGAAAGATGTTTATCGAATAGGGCATCTGAAATTACACTGTGCGTTTCGTGTACAAGTCTTCGCGAGATTAATCGTGAAAAAATTCGCGATTGCAAAGCGAAGGAACGTGTGTGTACACGTGACAAGTATTATCTTAGATGATTGATCCCCGAGAAAAGCATTTTGCATGTCGACAGAAGGGAATCTATGATTGATTAAAAATAAAAATCACGTGTATTTTGATATTAATATTGTAAGAATTTTAGAACGAGAAAAGTATTAAGAATTCAGTATTTTTTTTTTTTTGCCGTGAAAAAGATCGTAAAATTGTAGAAATTACATTTCCACACCTATATATGTCAATATAGATAAATTTATAGATAAATTTTTTACGATATTGATAATTGGGAATTAGTATATATGGTGATCGATACATTTTCTTTTCTTGTCTAAAATTTTCATTATATAAGGTTTGTTTGGATATATTTTGTTCGAGATACACAACTTTGATTTGTGTATCAGAATATTGAATGGTAACTCAAAAATTCTGTTCTTCTGCATACGTTTCAATCATTCGTTATCAAACATTCAGTAAGAAAAATTCTAGGAACGTGTACGTAATATAAAAATTCTTTAAAATGTTATTAATAAATAGTTAAAATTTGAAAGAAATTCGAAAGAAAAATAGAGATATTTAAATTTGGAATATTAAATTCTTGAGGGATTTTTGCAATTTGATCCGAGACGATCGGAATCGAAAACGGAAGAAAC